AGAGGCACGATCGATGTCCAACCTAAACGACTTGATCACAAGTCTTTCCTGAGGGCTCGATAGAAGTCCCACCTGAGAGGTTAAATGCCTCGTATGAGGGACTTATAGTATTATCATCCAGGCTACATATAATTTCCCATGAGGAGCTTAGACTCCCTAGGATAACCAAATTGTCGCCTGAGGGACTTAGTGTTTCCTCGGGTGGGGTCAAAATCAGAAACCACGTCAAAGTGGCATAACCATTATCCAACCTAAGAGACTTGATCATAAGTCTTGCCTTAGGGCTCGATGGAAGTCCCTCCCGAGAGGTCAAATGCCTCACTAGAGGGACTTATAATCTCATCAGACGAGCTACACATAATTTCACATGAGAGACTTAAACTCCCTAATATAACTAAACTTTTGCTTGAGGTACTTAATGTTTCCTCGGGACGAATCAATATCAGGAATCATGCCTAAAAGGCGCGACTAATATCCATCCTAAAAGACTTGATCACAAGTCTTGCCCGAGGGCTCGATAGAAGTCCCGCCCGAGAGGTCAAATGCCTTACCTGATGGACTTATAGTATCATCAGCTAGGCTACATGTAATTTACTCTGAGAGACATATAGTCTCAAGCTGACAGAAACTTCACATAAAGGAAACATGTCCTTAAGAAGCCCAAGTCTTCAGGATACTCCCTTGAGTCTCGATATAAAAAACACTCCGTACTTTATCAAAAGGACTTGTGTTTGAGGGACTATGTAATGTTACATTCATAAAAATAGTCTACTAGGGCGATGGTTATAGGACCCCTAAGGATAGATAACAATAACATGTCGTCCAAGGGGAGGTTTCGCCTCGCTCCAAGGTCTTCCTCTCGCCCAATCATGGGAAACATGTGAAAGATGTTCCTAGGACAAAGAGAAGTGAGGGTCATTAACTGATCCACGTCCTCCTTGGAAATAGGATTTAATGGTGCACCATTGACCGAGTGGGAGACGACCCATTCTAAGAGAACCCTAGGCCTTAAAGACCTCTATAAATATATCTCTCTTGTAGAAGGAAGGGAAGATTGTAACTCATATTGATCACACCCCTCATACGCTTATACCTAAACATATTATTCATCTACTGAGTCTGTCATCTCATGTGAGTAAGACTCCTAAAACCACCGTCAAACACCATTAAACAGGGCTTCTCGCCGCCATCGACAAGTTGTAACTACCATAAAATGTAATATACATATTAAGGCCTCTGAGTCCCCATATCCTTGCAGGAGGAACACTCATACTGGTCCTTTTTGACCAGTACATGATGCATAAGTAGGGCTGACAATAAACTGAACCAACTCGAAAATAGTTCGGAACTCGGTTCGACAATTAATTCGTTGAACTTGGTTCATGAACCTAATGAGCTGAATATGAGCGAAAAACTAAGTTCGTTAACTAAATGAGTTGAACTTAAACTATACATAGTTCGACTCGTTAGGTTCATAAACCAACTCGATTATATATGAGAAGGATTATATTGTCTTTAAGAGTTGGTTTAAAGATTTAATATAAATTTTAACCTTATATCTTATTTTAATCTAACGGTGTTAATTGATAATATATATTCTCAAGTGTGCAAAATATTTCTAAAAGTATTTATACAAATAAAATTAGCATCATATAAATCAATTAACTTTTGAAATAGTATATTTTTTAGACAAAGTTAAATTTCAATCTAATAACTTTTATTTTATTTCAATACTTTCTTTTTAAATAATATTAATTTAAAATGTCAAATATATAAATAAAAAATAAACTTTAAAAAATGGCTTTTAAGTCCGTGAAGCAAGCGAGCTGAACCTAATGAGATAAACCTAGCGAGTCGAATTGAGTTGCTCGTGAACTTATAACAAGTCGAGTTTGAGTTTAAAAAAAAGTTCGTATCGAACTTGAACCGAGATTTGAGCTGAACCAATTCTTAACGAGTCGAGTTGAGCTGAGACGAGTTCGACTCGACTCGACTCATTTCCAACCCCATGCATAACATATGAATGGGCAGTCTCAGTCAAGACTGATTTTTTTTTTGCCATCCCCCTAGTTCTCAAATCATCTTTCAACAGAATAATTTTATTAAAGTCCATTTCATCGAAATACCAAAGGCTCTCCATATTTGAGTAACCTAAATCTTTTAAACTACTCAACACTTAAAAATACCTATAGTAATCAAGATCAATATTCCAAACCTCCTCTAACCCTTTGTAACCTAACTTGATAAACTAAAAAAACTTCCCTTCATAAAGCACAATACACTCAAACCTCATACCCATGACCTATTCAAGCTAAATAATGTAGAAGAAGTAGTAAGGAAGAAGGATAAACAAAAAAATTTACACATTTTTAAAAGTTAGAGTTGAGTATTCATATATATTGAAGAAATATTTATTCGGTGAACTTTTTAAACATTAGGAAGATGAATATTAGAAATCTTCACTTCAAATGCAATTCGTTTATCTTCACCTCTTCGTATTTTGGGTTTCATCTTTGCTTCAAACGTAGTGAAAATGAAAAGAGATAGGACTTATATTTAAAAATGAAAATAAAAAGAGTTAGAGTTTGTGTTTAAAAGTAAAAATAAAAAGAGTTAAGATAATGTTTCAGCATAATGAATAATATGTTTCGTCTTTAATAAAAAAAATGCTACGCCAATTAAAACAATTTTATGTCAATCAAACTATTAAAATCTACTATTAGATGATACTGAAGATTTATTGATGAAATGGTGAAAAATGTACAAAACAATAATCATAAACAAAATCTCCCTCATAAATCATTGATGCAACTTTTCACCTTTCCTCCCACGGAAATCAATTCCTTCCCCAACTCTTTTGTTTCCATCGTCAATTCCAGCAGTAGGAAAAAAAAAACCTTAACCGTTAAAACCCAAACCGTTACACCATAGAAGTGACTAAAGAAAATGACGTGTGAGAATTTTAGGTCCCAAACAACCAAAAAGCAAACGGTTGAGAAAAGTCCCATCCGTGTGCGACAATACAATCCAAACCATATGCGATCCATTATGTTATCCAACCAAACATTTTACTTCTTGTTCTTTATTTCCATTAATGTAACCTCATTTTGCTTCCTATCTTAGCTAGATAGATCTATGTTTTTTTCATCCCCTCAATCATTTATCTCTACTAGTAATGAAGACCAAGAAGCAACCTAGATAGATGTTAATAAAAATAATACATAGAAAGAAAATACTAACAAAAAGTCATTTACACCGGCTATGTTTTTTTGGAACAACTGATTCGGTTCAGAATCAACATCAAGTAGTTCTATCTTTCTCCTTCAATCACATTTACAGATAATCGACTGTGATTCTTACTATCAATTTCAACGTCAATTACCACATCCGATTGATTACGTGGACTATGTTTATTGGTATTATGCATCCACATTTAATTTTACATAAAGCTGTCGTACGTCATGCCTGTCTTGGCCCTTTTAAATCCCTCTCATGTGCCCTATTCTATCACATACCTCGTGCATAGATTCCCAAATAATTCAATTTAATTATCATTCTAATATGTGTCACTAATTGACTCTTATTCTATTCTCACGCGACATCACGTGACACCTTGCATATTTTAATAATGTTTCAAGTCACAAGGAAAAAATAATTAAGCCTTAATGAGTAAGGTTCAAAGTAATATAAGAGATTCTTAGGACAAATGGACAGTGTCATAGATCGCATCGTATGTGATTTTTTATTTTTTTTTACAAAATGGAACATCTCACGAATTTTCTTAATCTGGTTTAGATCTAAATTGAAATCTATGACAGGTTAAATAAAAGCAAAGTCTGAATTGTATATTGTAAATAAATTTGAATTTGATTGAGATCTGAACACATAGCAAATTTGTTAAAAAAGAAAAGAAAAAAGGCACATAGCAGGAGCTTTATTATAAAAAGTTTAATATTCTGTTCTAAATTTTGAAAAAAATGTGATAGGGTAATTTTGGTTATTAATTGTTGCATGTGAGACTTTCTTTACATGTGCATGTAGCAAAAAAAGGAAAAATTTTCTTCTTGTTAATGCATGGCTTGCTAATTACTCTAACTAACAGTTCTGTCAATGGTTAGTTTTTTTTCTGTTATAACTGTAAGCTGTAATTCTAAATACATCCTTAGTATAAAAACTGTGATTACAGGTAGATACAAATATAAAATTATAATTATGATTAAAATATTTTATCCGATTAATTTTATAAAATTGAGAGACAAAATAAGATCGTAAAACACAATATCATAAATAAATTCTAAAATTGAGATGTCTATTCTCTGAACCTTAAATCTAAAAGTTCATTTTAAAAAGCATATTCTGATCGTCGTCAAACTGTAATTTTATCTTTCATTCAATCAAAATCAGATAAAAAATTGTAATACTTGAGTATGATAACTCAAAATAATATAATGTAAAAAATATATTATTATTACTAAATTAAACGTATTTAGATCTAAGTGACAAAAGGGAGAGTCAGGCTCAAAACTAGTTGGCCTTTGGCAGAATGTGTTATAGCAGACAAAGTGCGCCTGCCCATATTTTCAGGACATAATTCGTCTCATCCATTTTAACTGTAAGAGAAAATAATATGAAATCTTATTTTATTATAATGAAAATGAAGGCACATCAAATATAAGAAGTTGATATTAAAACAATATTCACACTCACCCACCCGTCTCTGTTGCTCACTCTCAAAATTTAAAAACTGTTATAATCGTTTTCCCCACCATTGCACTCTACTTGAACATAAACAAGTATTATAAACAACCATCTAAAATTCCACCTCTCTCTCTTTGAAACATCATGGCCTAGCTGTTTCTTGGATCTAGAGATTCTGGCTATTTTTTAATTTTGAAGTAACACACAAGACATGATTTGGTTCCTTCCTGTTGTTTCTCCCTAGGCTCAAAAATCAATCAAAACTTTTTTCATTGGAGTTTGTGGCAGCATACTTAGTTGCAATGCCTGTAAATCCATGGACCCTTTTTTTCTTATCCATTTTTCTATTACTTCTACACCATTCTTTTCTATCTTTTGCAGTAAATCAACAAGGGGAAGCTCTTCTTTCATGGAAGAGAACTTTGAATGGATCTTTGGAAATTTTGAGTAACTGGGACCCGATTGAGGAGACACCATGTAGCTGGTTTGGAGTGAGTTGCAACTTGAAGAACCAGGTAGAAGAATTGGATTTGAGGGATGTGGATTTGCTTGGAAAACTCCCAACAAATTTCATCTCATTGTTCTCCTTGACTAGTCTTATCTTAATGGGAACGAATCTCACCGGTTCAATCCCAAAAGAATTAGGTGCTCTCGTTGAACTCAGCTACTTGGACTTGAGTGACAATGCATTGAGCGGCGAAATCCCCAGTGAACTATGCTATTTGCCTAAACTCGAGGAACTTCATCTGAACTCAAACGAGCTCGTGGGGTCGATTCCAATCGCAATTGGGAACCTCACAAAGTTGACAAAGCTGATCTTATACGACAATCAGTTGAGTGGCGAAATTCCAAACACAATAGGCAACATGAGGAGTCTTCAAGTGATAAGAGCGGGAGGAAACAAAGATTTAGAAGGGCAATTACCACATGAAATTGGAAACTGTTCCAGTTTGATCATGTTGGGTTTAGCAGAAACAAGCATCTCAGGTTTCATGCCACCAACTATAGGACTATTGAAAAAGCTTGAAACATTAGCCATTTACACCTCACTTCTCTCTGGCCAAATTCCCTCTGAAATTGGTGACTGCACAAACCTTCAAAATATTTACCTTTATGAAAACTCACTCACAGGATCGATTCCAACCAAACTGGGAAACCTTAAGAATCTCAGAAACCTGTTACTGTGGCAGAACAATTTAGTAGGCACCATCCCTCAAGAGATTGGAAACTGTTACCAATTATCCGTGATCGACGCATCAGTAAACTCATTAACAGGAAGCATCCCTAAAAGCTTTGGGAATTTGACTTTGTTGGAAGAACTTCAATTGAGTGCCAATCAGATTTCTGGCGAGATACCCAAAGAATTAGGGAACTGTCAACAACTGACTCACGTGGAGCTTGATAACAACCTTATAACCGGTACAATACCTTCCGAATTAGGAAACCTTGGGAATCTAACGTTGTTGTTTCTGTGGCATAATAAGTTACAAGGTAATATACCTTCTTCTCTTTCCAATTGTCAAAACCTTGAGGCTATTGATCTGTCACAGAATGTGTTAACTGGTCCTATACCAGAAGGGATATTCCAGCTTCAGAATCTTAACAAGCTTTTGCTTCTATCTAATAATCTCTCTGGTAAAATTCCCTCTCAGATTGGGAATTGTTCTTCTCTTATTCGCTTTAGAGCCAACGACAACAACATTACTGGTGCCATTCCTTCTGAGATTGGGAATCTTAAGAATTTGAACTTCCTTGACCTCGGGAACAATCGAGTTTCTGGTGTTATCCCGGAGGAGATCTCCGGCTGCGGGAATCTCACTTTCTTGGACTTGCATTCGAACTTTATTGCCGGAAGCTTGCCTGAAAGTTTGAGTCAGCTGGTTTCACTTCAATTTCTTGATGTCTCTGATAACATGCTTGAAGGCTCCCTGAGCCCATCTCTCGGCTCGCTCGCCGCACTTACTAAGCTTGTTCTTCGAAATAATCGAATCTCCGGTTTGATTCCTAGCAAACTTGGTTCCTGTGTAAAGTTGCAGCTATTGGACCTAAGCAGCAATGAATTCTCTGGTAAAATCCCCGGTAGTATTGGTAAAATTCCGGCTCTGGAAATAGCTCTGAATCTAAGCACAAATCATCTCGCTGGCAACATTCCCCGTGAGTTTACAGATTTAACAAAACTCGGAGTTCTTGATCTATCTCACAACATTCTCACCGGAAACCTCAATTATCTCGCTGGATTAGAAAATCTCGTGGTCCTCAATATCTCCTCTAATAAGTTCTCTGGCCGCGTTCCGAACACGCCATTCTTTACAAAACTTCCTTTAAACGTTCTCTCCGAAAACCCGTCGCTGTGTTTCGCCGGCAACGGGTGCTACAATGAAGGTGGCGGAAAGTCAGGGAAGCGAGCCAGGGAAGCGCGAGTGGTGATGGTTATTCTCCTCAGCGTCGCATGCGTTTTACTCATGGCAGCACTGTACGTTGTTGTGGCAGCAAAACGACGCGGAGAGCAAGAAAGCGACGTGGAGATCAATGGAAAAGAATGCGACGCGGAAATGATCCCACCTTGGGAGGTGACATTGTACCAGAAACTCGATCTGTCAATATCCGACGTAGTAAAATGTCTCTCTGCTGGCAATATCATCGGCCACGGCCGATCCGGAGTCGTTTACAAGGTTACCATGCCAGCAACCGGATTAACTATCGCAGCTAAAAAGTTCCGGTTATCAGAGAAATTCTCAGCTTCGTCATTTTCATCAGAGATTGCCACATTGGCAAGAATACGACACCGTAACATTGTGCGGTTATTAGGTTGGGGTGCTAACCGCAGAACAAAGTTACTGTTTTACGATTATTTACCGAACGGTAATTTGGATGCTATGTTACATGACGGATGTACAGGATTAGCAGTGGAATGGGAGACAAGGCTCAAGATAGCAATTGGCGTCGCTGAAGGATTGGCTTATTTGCATCATGATTGTGTCCCTGCTATCTTGCACCGGGATGTTAAGGCGCAGAATATTTTGTTAGGTGATAGATATGAAGCTTGTTTGGCTGATTTTGGATTCGCTCGTTTCGTTGAAGAACATCACTCTTCATTTTCAGTTAATCCTCAGTTTGCTGGTTCTTACGGATACATTGCTCCTGGTAACTATAACTTCTTTTCTCAATTATTACTTAATTCACTTGTTTTACCAATTTCAAACTTAATTTAATCTGTTTAGTGTTTAGACTAATTTAAAGTACATAAATCATGTTTTGTTAAGACAATTCAGTTGATAAATGTGCAGAGATATCATATTGTAGGTGTGCGATTCTAGACATTATAGCTAGAGTTAGGTTGAATGATTGACGTTGTTTTCATATGATTATTATCATTCATGAAGCATGTGTATGATTGAAGGAAATGGGACCGTACAGTTATTTTCTGTTAAAGCGTGACAGTGCTTGTTTTGTCGCTTTTTTGTTTTTGGTTTCATTACATCTGTACATTTCAAGTACTTGATCACACAAAGTCACAAATAACTCACATGCATTTGGACAAACATAGTTAATAATACATAATAGTTAATGGCGGCACAAAAGCCAAATCATCATCATGGATAATTGATAATGTATATCCTATGATTAGTTTTGTGTCTAGGGTATAATTTTTGTGTTGGGTTGGAATTTTGCAGAGTATGCTTGTATGATGAAGATAACAGAAAAAAGTGATGTATACAGCTTTGGAGTAGTCCTACTAGAGATAATAACAGGGAAAAGACCGGTTGATCCATCATTCCCAGATGGAATACATGTTATTCAGTGGGTGAGGGAGCATTTGAAGAGCAAGAAGGACCCGATCGACATTCTTGATTCAAAGCTACAAGGTCATCCAGATACACAAATACAAGAGATGTTACAGGCACTTGGTATCTCTTTATTGTGTACAAGTAATCGCGCTGATGACCGGCCTACCATGAAAGATGTCGCAGCATTATTAAGAGAAATTCAGCATGACACTACGTCAGCTTCTGAGCCCCAGAAGCCTAAAAGATCTGAAACATCAACGTATTCTTCTTCTTCGGTGACCCCAGCTCAGTTGTTGTTTCTACAATCAAACTCACATTCACATTCCTCGTCAATTGCATATTCCTCTTCCTCGGCCGCAGCAGCTTACCATTCGCCAAGGAACTAGTCATGAATTCATGATTGATTAAAGCTATTGATTGATGTAATTTAGGACATAGATGAGATCTTGTTTAGATTTAATTTCATTGATAGTTAATTAGTTGCGGTAATTAACTTTAGTGTAATCTGAACATTGTAAATGTTCTCTGCGTATTCTGATTAATGATAAGATAAGGCAAAGTGAGTTGAGTGTACAGCTCCAGCTTAGATAATTCACATGATTCTATTTCTTTTCTTCATATATTCATGTTCCGGTTAACCACAAATTTTCATCCACAAGCCTTTCTATAAGAAGCTGGTTCGATCGATTTTAAAAAGAGGGCAATAAGTGAACGGTGTTACACTGAATTCGAAAGAGTAAAGTTATGAAATGTCAGGTTGGGCTATGAGGTGAAGTATCAATAGATACTTTTATGGAGCCCTCTTTGGGTTCCTTTATGATTGTTGGTGATTACAGGAAAAGAAATGGGTTGGCAAGTCTTCATTCAACTAATAACTCTCTAGCTAGGCCCTCACCATGTGATGTAGGATCATTCTGCATTCAAGTGCATTACACTTATGGTCAAGCAATCTCAAGTATACTTCTGCTAAATATTATAAGCAATACAATATTCCGACGTATAGCGACTCAATTTCGCTTTGAATAGTTCACAACCAAATGCAAATGGTTGTGATTCATATCTTCATTTCTTGGTTGATTGGCATGGCCTTTTCTTGCAATATGGGATCTATCATCTATTACTATACAAAGACAGTGAACAAGTTATTTGACTTTCCATCATATAAAGAAAATGAATATGATAGATGACCAGCCAGAGTAAATTTTTCTCCGTCGAGAAAAATGAAAAAAGGTTAGACTTAAAACATAACTTGTATTAACTTGTGTTCCAAGTTATGTTCTTTATGTTGTGATCGAGTCCATCATTTTCATAAAATTAGTGTGTCCATCTCTGTACTCTTTTTTTACTGCTTTTGGTTGAGTTTAGGAGATTTAAATGCTCGGTACAGCCATAAAAGGTATTGCCGAAAGTAAATTTGGATATGATATGTATGGCCCAGAAAAGCATAAATTGCAATCTTGGAAAGTGTATGAAAACAAAATAAGATACAGGGTCATGTGTCATATAGGTTGATAATTCTTATCTTGTATTAGTTTCGTGCACCAAACTAACTGATAGAAAGAATAATTCTATCAATTTATCATCATATTCATAGTTGTGTAGATATAATAATTCATTTTCATTAGAGACCAAGAAACTAAGCCTTAAATCCAATGTCTGACATAAGAAATCTCAATGAATTTAGGTTAAGCCTCATGATATCTACTTCATGCAAAGATAGATTTTAATAATTCAAAATCACCTTTTTATTTTGCAAATATTTCAAACCAAAGCAAATTAAATATCTTGTCCTAGTGTAAACACAACCACATTAATATCAAGATAAAGAATCAATACACAAAAAATTGTTTATACAATTTGAAGCAAAATCATCTACTATGCAAAACAGTTCTTTGATCCACTACCGATCAAGAGATTAAAAATAAGTTATAAAAAGTTAGCTCAACAATTATAAAAATGTTATTAAATTTCTATTAACTTGAGTCTCAAATATTTCATATTCTTAATACGTGAATCGCTCAATTTCAATGTGTTTGTGTTTATTCGCAACCCATACATTTAAATCAAAGATCAACAAAACCCTTAGATTAAGAATCCCTAACAAGTTATCCTTTTTAATTTTTTTATTTATCTAGAAGAATCTTCCAATCCAACAAAAATGATATAAAATATATAAATATGATATAGGTTTCGAGCCTCGCGTTCAGTGTTTTAAAAACTAGATCGGTCATCAAATCGATGAGGATACTGAGTCACTGATTTCTTGATCAAATTACTAGATTATTGGTTGAATCACGTGACTAAACCAGATTAAATTGAATATATTAGTTGAATAAATCAGTCTATATAACAAAATTATATTGTAATTAAACTAGTCAAACCAATCTTTAAAAAAATCAGGACACCAACAAAATTTCAAATTTTTAAAATGTAATAATTACACAAGCTCATTCTTTAAATCCATATTCTAAATATCACACACAACAAAATAGTACAAAATAAAAATCCAAATAAATTTTGAACAAAGTCTAATTGCAACGTAAACTGAATAGCAAATAACTGTAGTGTCTAATAAATTTAATTTCAAAGAAGAAAAGTTGTTCCAAATATGTTTTGAACAAAATCTACTTATATTTTAATTTTATTTTTAATTTTTTTTATTAAAATGATGTCGTTTTGTCTGAGGAAAAGGAAGCAAGCATTTAACCTAATGGTTTTCCAAAACCGTCGATTCGTCAGTTTTTATTAATTTAAGTCGATTCTGACCAGTTCCCATTAGTTCAATAGCTTGCCTGATCCAATAATCAAACCAGACCGGTGATCCTTCAATTCCCAATCGGATCGACTGGTCCGATCCAATTTTTAAAACCCGGCTCACGCCCAATGACACCTGTCTAACATTTCTCAACGTGCTCACATGCCTCGCGCCTCCTCAAATCCCTTCAACTTTGAGGGAAAAAATGGAATTCCCCTATTTTTATTGTCACTCGCCTCACGAGTGAGAAACTAGTGAAATTGGCGAGGTACTGAGTTTTCTTAAAGAACAATCCCTAAATCTCCACATTATCTTAAAAAATTATGATTATACCAATTTACTCACCAACCACCTTGATGTTATCTCTAAACTTGAATCATTCTTTGATAAAATTGATCAAATTCATGCGATGATTAAACCTTGATGTAGGTAGTGACTTGGTGAACACATCCACTGAATTATCTTCCAAAACAACCTTCTCCACTACAATCTCATATGACTTGATCATGTATCAATGTTAGCTGGTGATTGTCAATATTGCACTAAACCCTATTAAGCATGGTTTGGAAGAATCTCAAGAATAGATCCACAAGATTAGGATCACTTTCTCTTCAAAATATATCCAGAATTTCGAAAAGGTTCGCAGTGGAGCTAACATTTCGACATAAAAGTGTGATGTAAAGGTGGTGAGTTCAACTTGTCTGTCAAGTGTTTTGGGACTTAGTGTATTTTTTAGGTAAAAAACTAGGTGATATAGAGACATTTCAACATCAGTACAAGGTTCGATATAAAAACTCCTCGAAAGAGGTAGTTAGAGGTTATGAAGAGGGTTCAATAATAAGAGAAGTTTAGAGAGAGTTTAAAGACCAAATACACGTGGAAATATATAAAAAAAGTAGAAGTCTGCGTGATAGGACACATGTCAAGTCTTAAGGTAGTAACTATTATCGATAATTATTTTTCTATTTAATATATAAGTCGATTTTAGTTATGTAGTATTCTCTATAGAACTCGAGTATCCAAGTCACAGAGAAAAGAGTTTGTGGGGAAACAAGTATGATAGGACACATGTCAAGTCTTAAGGTAGTAACTATTATCGATAATTATTTTTGTATTTAATATATAAGTCGATTTTAGTTATGTAGTATTCGCTATAGAACTCGAGTATCCAAGTCACAGAGAAAAGAGTTTGTGGGGAAACAAGTATGAATTTGTGTCCCTGTTCTTAAGTTTTTAATCCAATCATTTTATTTGATTGTTTTTATTGTTTTTCTTTATTTACTTTATATCGTCGAACAATTATATATGATTCGCACTGGAATTCTTATCTAATTTCTCCATATTCAAACATCAATATTCAAACACAAACACATATTTTCTCAAATCTTTTGCAAAAGTGAACTAAAACTAGTGATTTGATTTACCAAAAACAACGGTAAACAAATTGGCGCACCTGGTGGGACACTTTTGTGCAAGAAATATAAACTTTTTCATAAGAGCGGTTTGTGTTCTAATTATTTTATTTCCACCATGAAACCCTAATTCTTCAAATCTCTTGATTCTGTTGTTCCATCTTGACTTTTGATGATCCAACTATATGAGATCATGGACTAAGGCCTTCAAAGCTTAAAGTTGACCAAAAAACTCAAGAGTTGACTTTTGTGATGCCTCAGTTGACTTTTGAATTAGATGAAATCAATGTCTCCCCTATCCACTTAGCAAACTCTTGACTTGGATTTCTTTGGATCAAATGACCTCTTAGGGACCCATGAAATGAGTGAGGACCTCCTTAGTTGATTTCCCACTCAACTCATATTTTATCAAAACTTACTCCTCTTCTCCACAAAACCCTAATTTCAATAAAATAAACAAAACAACAAAGCCTGATGATTTGGGTTAGTGATGCAATGATAATTAACCTATGATGCTCATGCAAATGTTAATGACATCTAAGGGGTAAAATTTGGGGTATGACACGTATACTTGCAGATATCACACATCAGAAACCAAAGAAACTTCAAGATCCAAGAGCTTTCTTGCAAGAGAAGTGAAGAACAAGCCAAAAAAAGCCAAAATTGATCCAAGAATCACTTATAAGTTTGCTTCCAAAATCAGATTCAAATCCAAACGAAAATCAAATGATGAATTGAAGATGATGGAGATGAATGGTGGAGGTTTAGCTTTAGAATTCAAACATTCCAGTGAAGAGTCAATGAACTCAAGAAAATAGCTCTAATGGAGTTTTGGAGTGTAGAAAAGTTGAGAGAATGTGAGAGCAAATTCTAGAGAGTGAATGAGAAATCTGAAATTATGAGGGTTCCTTCTTGAGATTTGGAGCAAATTCACTTAAATAAGCTCTTAGTTAGGAGTATAATTATGGTTTGAAGTGAGGTTTTGAAAATTAGAATGGGATTAGGAATGGAAAATTGGAGGGAAACTGGATTGGTTTTGAAAGTTAATCAAAATTTTGAGTGATTCTAGATCCTTCTTATGGTGTAAAAATCAATTCACAAGTGATCAAAATAGACCCCAAAAGTTGCAGCATTGAAAATGCATGTATTTCGGAAAATTTTCCTTTGGTTAACCGATTAACCATTTGCTAGTGAAAATTGGTTAATCGGTTAACCACTT